TCTGGGGAATACTCCTATGAAGGGAATTGCTGTATGTGCATGTTTACCTTTTTAAGATAATGCCAAACTCTTTTCCAATTTCCACAGCAATGTGTAAGTGTTCTTATTGTTCTACATCTTTGCCAAAACTTAATCATGCAAGACTCACTTTTTGCCAGTTTTTTGGGCATAAACTTTGTATCTTTTAATTTGCATTTATCTAAATACAAATGAGTTTGGGTTTGTTCTTCTATACCAATTTAAGAAAAAGCTTGTTGAGTTTGATTTTAAAAAACCTTAATAGGATTTTGTTTGGAATTGCATGATATTAATAGATTAATTAGCGGAGAATTATCAGGTTAAGAACTGTGAAAGGTTTGAGATTTTACTCTACTTGCAAATTCACATCAGTCCGTTAGTTTCAGGGATGCTGGCAGAAGACGCTAGACTCTTGAATCAGAGACAAAGGACTTTATTACCCACAGCAATGGCAGTAGCCAGAGTATCAGCATTTTCCTGAAATGCTGATTCTGAAGGTTCTGAAGCTGCAATTCCCACAGGAGATGTGAAGAGGGTGGGTGACCCCTGTGTCTATACTGGGTTGCGGTACAGGAGAGGAACACTGAGCATAGGAAACAAGCGTTTTATATGTAACAGCAGGTATGTTTACCCTCTGCTCTAGAGGGAGACACTATCCCTGTCTTCGAAGGCCATTCACCATAAGAACATCTTTGAAAAGATAATCCAGAGCAAAGGCAGCACGTAAGTAAGCAACCTCTACTTGAAAGATGTGCAGAAATGCAAGACGCCTATGGAGACTTGTCTCTCAACATGACATCCATAGAATATTAAGACTTCCTTTCCGTGAAGATGTTTGCTGTCTACATTTTTTTCTGTCTTTAATATAGTTTTGTAATTGACTCATAAAAGGAATGCTACTTTGTGTATTTGTTGCTTTCGTAAAAAGTATTTTTTGAAATTACATTTTTCTACTTCATGATTGGTATATAGAAATGTAAATAGGTATTATATTTGAACATTACATCAACTAACTTTTAAATCCTCTTAATTCTATATTCTAGATTCTTTTGGGGTTTTGCTTGTCTATGTCTGTTATGTCTATATTCTTGTCAGCTGTATATACTTCAGTTTGTCCTTTCCATTATGGCTCCTACCCTTTTATTTTGATATTTCTGTGCTGGCTTAGCTCTCTGATTACCATGTTAAATAGAAGTTATAATAGTAGTAAACATTCTTTTTTCTTTTTTTTGATACAAGGTCTTGCTCTACTGCCCAGGCTGGAGTGCAATGGTGTGATCATAGCTCAGTGTAGCCATGAATTTCTGGATCCAAGCAATCCTCTTGCTTCAGCCTCCTGAGTAGCTAGGACAGGAGGTGCCATGCCCAGCTACTTTAAAAATTTTTAGAGACAGGTCTCACTATGCTGCCCAGGCTGGTCTTAAACTCCTGGCCTCAAGTGGTCCTCCCACCTCGGCCTCTCAAAGTGTTGAGATTACATGTGTGAACCACTGTGTCTGGCCTTTTAAAATTTTTATACTATTTATTTAGTTTTTTCTTTAAGTATCTGTTCATTTTGATAGTTTCATTTTTCTTATACAGGTTAAACACCTTTTTAATACAACACGTTTATTTTGTAGTATGTATCTGAAAATGTAATATTGAAGTCTTTGAGGATGTGGATCTATTTGTTGTTTCTACTGACTTGCCCTGCTAATCCTGGGTTACGTCCTTTTTTTTTCTCTGTGATTTTAGATTGTGGGTTTATATTTGCTGGCATGCTATCTCTGGGGTTTCTTTTGAGGTCTGGGTTGAGGGTACCTTTCTCCAGGAATGGTTTTATTTTGCTTTTGTCAGACACTGAGAACTACTGATATGAATCCTCTTAAAAATACAATGATCAGCAACATAAACTAAGTAAACAGTGTAGATTCAGTTACTAACTCCATCTGTTGTGTGTGTGTGTGTGTGTGTGTGTGTGTGTTTGAGACAAGGTCTTGCTCTGTCACCCACATTGGAGTGCAGTGGTGTAATTATGGCTTACTGCAGCCTCGCCTTCCCAGGCTCAAGTGATCCTCCCACTTCAGCCTCTCAAGTGGGATTACAGGCATGTACCACTATGCTCGGTTAATTTTTTTTTAATAGTTTTTTTTTGAGTTTTTATAGAGATGGAGTCTTGCCACGTTGGCCAGGCTGTTCTCGAACTCCTGGGCTCAAGCAATCCTCCTGCCTCAGCTTCCCAAAGTGCTGGGATTACAGGCATGGGCCACTACACTTGGCTTAAATCCATTTGAATGTTGTTAGTCAGTAGCTGTTAATTTGCAGGGAGCCCTTAAAAAAATCCATGAATAGCCCAGGCTGAGAATGGTTACTTTCCTCACTATCTGCCTCTTCAATTTTTTGATTTATTTTAGTTCATTGTTTTTAAAAGGGCAGAGCCTTTCAGGGATCCAGGCTTTCCATGAGGTAGACTCTGATATGACTCTCAATTATTCACTGGCCCTAATGTTTCCACAAGTTCTCTAGGCTATCGTGATCAATATAGTCCCATATTCTGATTGTCTCCAGGCTTGTCTCGATAGAGATAAAAGTTTAGCTCATGCATCAGAGTCACCTGGAGGATTTGCACACAGATTTTGGGACCTTACTCTCTGAGTTTCTGATTTAGTAGGTCTCACGTAGGGCCCAATAATTTGTATGTCTAAGTTCCCAGGCGATGCTAATGTGATTGATCTGGGGGCTGTACTTGAGAACCACCTCTCTGGACTAGGTTGGTTGGCAAATTTTCTTTTTTCCTTTTTCTTTCTTTCTTTTTTTTTTTTTTGAGATGGAGTCTCGCTCTGTCTCCCAGGCTGGAGTGCAGTGGCACCATCTCGGCTCACTGCGAGCTCTGCTTCCCTTCCCAGGTTCACGCCATTCTCCTGCCTCAGCCTCCTGAGTAGCTGGGACTACAGGTGCCCGCCACCACTCCTGGCTAATTTTTTGTATTTTTAGTAGAGACAGGGTTTCACCGAGTTAGCCAGGATGGTCTTGATCTCCTGACGTCGTGATCCGCCCGCCTCAGCCTCCCAAAGCGCTGGGATTACAGGCGTGTGCCACCGCGCCCAGCCGGTTGGCGAATTTTCTCTGTGAAATGCCAGAGTAAATCTTTCTGACTTTGTGGATCACATGGCCTTTGTGGCAACCACTCAACTCTACTGTTGTAGCATGAAATCAGCCACAGAGAAGGCAACAACAAATGGATATGATTGTGTCCCAAGAAAACCTGATTACAAAGATATGTGTCTGGCCATGTTTGATCCAGGGGCCACTCCTTTGCTGATCCCTGTTCTAGACTGCTGTTCGAGCTTTGTCCTGGGCCACAGGGAACTTTCTTTTACTTTCTCGCAGGTATGTTGGTCACTGAAGAAGGTTTTTTTTTTTTTTTTTTTTTTTGAGACAGAGTCTCGCTCTGTCGCCCAGGCTGGAGTGCAGTGGCCGGATCTCAGCTCACTGCAAGCTCCGCCTCTCGGGTTCACGCCATTCTCCTGCCTCAGCCTCCCGAGTAGCTGGGACTACAGGCGCCCGCCACCTCGCCCGGCTAGTTTTTTGTATTTTTTAGTAGAGACGGGGCTTCACCATGTTAGCCAGGATGGTCTCGGTCTCCTGACCTCGTGATCCGCCCGTCTCGGCCTCCCAAAGTGCTGGGATTATAGGCGTGAGCCACCGCGCCCCGCCAAGAAGGTTTTTAAAAAATATGTTAATGAACATTTTTAGATGTTACACAGCAGAAAATCTTTCAGGATCTCCTTTCCACTATATTATTGTAAGTGGAAGTCCTGCATTTTAAATTTCTCGGGAGAACCCCTCTTGTTTGAATAACTTAGGGCAAGGCTTTTCTAGCAGATCTGATCTTCCCTACAAGTCCAATCTCTTTAGCAGGCCAAAAAACGTTTATGATTTGCCCTTGTTTTCTTCCAGGAACCTTCTCCACCTGCTGCCTCTATATAACATACATTCCTATTAAACTCAGTCACCTCAAGGGCCCTGCTCTTTCTGTGCTATCTCCTTTCCTCATGCCTTGGCACATACTTTTCCATTTTCCAGGTTGTCTTCCATTCCTTCCCCCAAGCAAGGCTGGTAAATTCCCGCTATTTCTCTAGCCTTCATGAAAAGCTCCTCCTCTGTGAAGCTCTCCCTTCCCAAAGCTGCTGCATGGCCCTAGATGCGCTCCCCATAATTATTCCCATCATTATATCTATTGTTCTCCACTGTTATTGCTAGTGCCCCAGAATGTCCCCTTGTTAGGCTGTAACTTGAGAGTGGGAGTTTCATTTATCTTTACATTTCCAGTGCCTATATTTGTCACTCAATAAATATCTTACGTATTTATTTACTTTGGAAAAATAGAATACGTGGCTATATAAATGATGACTGTTTAGGAAATGCGATTTTAAACAACTCACTTGATATGGTTTGGCTGTGTCCCCATCCAAATCTCATCTTGAACTGTAGTTCCCATAAGCCCCAGCTGTGGTGGGAGGGACCAGTGGAAGGCAATGTAATCGTGGGCGTGGTTTCCCCCGTGCCATTCTTGTGTATTGAGCAAGCTCTCGTGAGATCTGATGGTTTTATAAGGGGCTTCTCCCTTTGCTTGGTTCTCATTCTTCGCTCTCCTGCCACCTTGTGAAAAAGGACTTGTTTCCTTCCCCTTCTGCCACGATTTTAAGTTTTCTGTGAGTCAATTAAACCTCTTGCCTTTATAAATTACTCAGGTATGTCCTTACAGCAGTGTGAGAACAGACTAATACACACTTATTTAAATGCTTGAGGTTTTAATCTTATCTCTATAATCACCCGCCCAATTAGAACCTCCTAAACTCAGTCTCGTTTATTATTCTGGGTTAGTCAAACCTACATAAGTCTGTAGTGAAACACACAAAAGCACAGACCACTGCATGCATCATACCCAACCAGCATCAGGGCAGTCATTTATTGTCTCTAAAATAAAACAAAAGACACAGTGTTTTGTTTCTCTTTTATTGCAACCCATTGCAAGGTCAAAGATTCACGGAAATATAGAAACTACAAACCGGGTGAATTTTCTTTATCCACTCAAAAAGACATTAAAGACAAAGGACCAGAATTTTCCACTACAGCAATATATTTCATAGTCTTTATTCTGAAAATACTGTTGACATTTTGGAGAGAATAAAAAGCCCTGCACTAAACGTATTCACATGTATTTATGACATTCTAAGCAAAAAAAAAGAAACCCTATATTGCCCAGAAAAATTATTTTAAGCCTCATTTCAAAGCATCTAATGAGAACACATTCAATAACCATCACAGGATCACTCAAGGTGATGCCTTTTACTGGCTGGTTTTTTTTCTCTTTTTTTTTTTTGAGATTAATGCTTTGAGGCTGGATATGGTATTTCTATGGAGTTCTACAAATGTACCAAAGCAGTTTTCCAGATTATGTTGCATCAGGCTTTCTGGATTAGTCAACATTTTAGAGAATAAGTGCAAGTCCCCACCCCACCCCACCCCGCAAGCTAAAGCATGTTATAGTGCTGTACTTTAGATGCAAACAATGCAACGTTTAAAAAATCAATTATATACTCTGAAACCATTTGACAACCAAACTGTAACACTCCAAAGGTTATTACCACTTTGAACTGAAATGGTACCATCTATATCATAGATGGCTCTCCCTTCTTTTGTCTTTTTTAACTATTTAAAATATAGTATGACATATATAAAAATTAAACTTCTGCATATTCCCTCAAGCTACTATTACTATACATACTGTCTTATAAATTAGTTTGGATTAAAAATCAGTTAAAATATTGTGAAATAAGCTATTTCAGTGGTGGGGAAGTAGATACGAAAATGATGTAGTTCAATGTGTAAGAAGAAATACAGTTTATTAATGTTAAACAGCTTTTTTCTTACACAAATTTTATTCCCTTCAAATTAAATTAGAAACTCATTTAGTGACGGGAAGAACACTCATGGTGCTTACTGACTAGATTTCCTAACTGATTGGGATTAAAACAAAAATGCCACATCAGAAACATGTTGACATAATCAAAGGAAACAGTTGTTTACAAAAAAAGAGAATCATTAGAAATCAGTAAATGGCATTCAAATGTAAAGCTATCTTTTGCTTCTTACAGCTAATGTCATGTTAGCAATGTGAGACTTAAAGAAAGTGAAACTCAAACCTCAGTATATCTGTTAAAGACCAAATAACAGTTATATTCACTCAGGGAAAAATAAATAGCAAATTCACAAGTTAGGTTTTGTTTCTAGTTCTGCTGTGAAAGATAATCACTCTTTAGCTTAAAAAGGCTCCCTGATGTCCTCATTATAAATCTAGACACAGGAACAGTTATTTGAGCCTGAGTCCCTAATATGAATTAATTGTAAAGATGTGTTAAATCAAAACATATATTCATTTACTGATAGGTCTTGTCTTAACTGAAGCTGGCAATCTTTAATTAAACAAAGAAATGCTTATTTCTGACAAGTGTAAACAGAATTTCAATGAACGGATTTTCTAATTTTCTTTCTTAACTCATATATTAGCTAGCAATAGATCTTTGTAGTAGCACGAGAACTAGTCCAAAATGACAACATGCACATATCCAAAAAACCTGTTCAAAAACCCAAAGCAAAGCAAAAAAAGCAACAACAGTAGAAAGATTGTCTACTTATATCTCACTCATGAATCTTCTATTAATGTGACTACCCTCTCGTATCTCAGAAATACACTTTAATAATTACCAAAATTAAGAAAATAATGAAATGATCTGTACTTTTTAAAATAATTGCACACCATTAATTACATTGGTGGCTTCAATGCTAAGATTAGTTTCAAATATCATTAAAATATATCCTGACCAGTTACTATCCAGGAAATAAAAGCTAACACAATGTTAACGTAAAACCAACTAAAATATTTAGTGCTCAACAGAATGCATTTGTAGAATAATGTATAATTAATTTTTGTGAGCTGGCCAGGGGAGTTCAGATTGTTGCCTCCATATAACAAATTTAGAAAAGGCTTTATTCTTTCTAGTCCCCAAGTCACCTACCAGATAGCAAGTTGGCCACCTGAGGATGCATGGAGTTAGGCAGTGCCACAGTGGATAACATGCTACCTCGGTGGCCTGGAAGAAGGCTTCTCTGTCAGGAAATGATCTGGAGTAGATCAGAGCCCCGGTGTAGATGTGCACACATGTGTGAGTATGTGAGAATGTAAGTGCCTGTACGTGTAACATCACTTCTATTGTAGTCGTCATCAGCAGAAGTGCACAATTCATCCCATGTAAAAAGAAGGCCTTCTTATTTGGACATCTCCAAGTGGCAGCAATTAGAAGCTCAAAATAATACATCCAATTTTTTGACTCTATATTAAAAAAACTTTTTTTTTTTAAAGAGAAAGAAGCCTTTGAAGTTAAAAACTAAAAAGTTTGTGGCTTTCATAATCTTTAATTTCTAAGAAAAAAAGCCAGCTCACTTGGGAACAAATGACAACTGCACTTTTGGTATGCAGTATGCAAACAAGACACAAATACACATACTTGAACACATACAGACAGGCGACAGTTAAAACCCTTCCGAGAGATCAGCCCCCCAAATGTACAATTCTCCTCTGCTCTGCTGAATGGGTGCCAGCGGACTAGGCGGGGCAGGAGCGTTAGGAGGAGGCGGCAGACATGTTGGGGGTCCAGCCCATCTGATAGGCTCTCTCCAAGGTCCTCTTGCAGTCCTGCAGGACGGTGCTAAAGGTGATGTGGGGGTACTGCTGCACCAGCTGTTCCACCGTCACTTCGTTGACCTGCAAACAAAGAAGAGCCATCATCACGCACAGAGACCACCAACACCATGCTGCTGCCCACGCTCACTGATGTGCTGCGGCTGACTCACGGTGGCACAAGGAGCCCTGGCTTTGCTCCTCCTAGCGATGTGAGGAAGGGTTTTGTGAGAAGATATGTGTCCCCTTTCATCTGACCTTTCTGATCTCCCAGTAACACACCTGCCCTTAGGGATTTTTAAAAGACATAATATCAAGAAATCAAAAGTGTTTTCTAGAAGCATAGATGACTGTGATTTGTCAAGATCTTAACCATGTCCATTGAAAATCCAGTGCTTGGGAGGTGAAGAAGCAGTAAGATAGCTAATGTGCACTTGACTTCATCATCAACCCAACAGCCTTCTTAGGACAAAAATTGTGGAAAGCCGGAGAGGATACACAGGATTCCAGAAGTGTTGGGGAAGATGTTTATTTTTCTTCCCTTTAAATGTTAAGGTACTGCAAACTTCAAGTGCCTTTGTGAAAAGGGCTGAAATGTGAGGAATCAATAATTAAAACATACATGGATAGCAGGTCAGAGATGGCCCCAATAGACCTTAACCATCAAAGATACCACCTTGATTCTTGATTAGACAAGGCAATCAGACAGGCCTAATTAAAACTAACACCTTTACAATTGCTGTGCTGTGAAGGGATTAATTTGTCAATTATTTTTAAGCTGATTGCAGTGCATATCACAGAAGTAGACAGTTTTCTTCATCCTTTAGATAAATAAATGATTAACCTAAGAACCACAACTTTTAGGTAGCTTTATTTAAAATCTTTATTGAACACTTGAGCATTTTCAAATACATCAATATTTCATTTATACTGAGTAAGCTAGTCTGAAAGAAGGTACTTGTGATACACATTTTTGAGCATACCTCTTGATGTCCATTATTGGAAAAGATCAGGATCACTAGGAAAAACCTAAAACAACATCAAACCCTTGCTGTTTGCTTTGAAAGCCTGCTTAGAAGTATGATGATCATGAAATTCAGTTATCTGCACTTTTCTGAAATAGTATGATGTTTTCTAAGTGATCTAGAAAACTATGTTATCTGTTAATCTTTTTACATTATTGACACAGTTGATATTTCAACATTGTGTTGATGATACTAAATCTTTGCCAGAGCATTTCTCTATTTAAGAACTGCTTGTGTTTAAGTCAAATTTAACCAAGCCATATAACTAATTCTTTTTGTGATAAAGCTATGATTTATAACATTTTATTTTCAAAAGCTAATAAAATAATTTTGAATAAAAAAAGGAAAACTGATACACATATTGGAGTTGAAATATGAACTGATTAATTTAATATAATTTAAATGTGTGCTCTAAGTCTAGAGTTCAGACAGCTTGTAACAGTACATTTAGGAGTCATCTATCATCTGGCCTTGCCTATTCCTCTAGCATATGTTTGATACTATCCAGTCACTTGGCCTAGTTTCAGTTTATTAAGTTGTTCAAGTTCCTTCTGGTCTTGGGATCTTTACACATCCCTGGAATACTTTTTGCCCCACTTATCCATTATGATCCCTTTCTCATGCCTACTTCCTACTCATCTTTGAGTTCTTAGCTTCCATGTCATTTTCCCAGCAAATTTGGATCACTGCCTTATCTCTGCTCCCCTCACTAAGTTACGTAAGTATTCCAGATCATTCACTCTTTCAATACTGCCTACTTTTCCCTCAGAGTACTTATTATTGTACTAAGTGAATTTATGATTGCTTAGTTTAATGTCTATTTCTCTTGCTCCAATCTAAGATCTATAAGAACTATAATGAGCCAGGAATAGTTATGAGTGAGTGAATGCTAAAACAAATACAAACTACAAATAAAAAATAGAAATCCAAGAATAAGGCAAAGCCCGACACTGACACTAACATACTAATCAAGAAGGCCAACAATTTCTTGAGGAACTCATGTTCAGTTCAAGAATCTCCTCCTTCAGGGAAGCCCTCCCTAAGCAACCCAACCCAGAAGGTTGAGTTAGGCACCCCTTCCCGGTGCACCATGGCGGGCACCCTGCAAGGTCTGTCCTCTCTTTGAGCACTCTCACACTGTATTACAATTATCTGTCCACTTGCCTATCTCTTCCACTTGAATAGAAGTCTCTGGAGATTAAAGATTGGCCTTTTATCTTTAAATCTACTGGGCAGTTCAAAATAGAGAAGAACTATGGCAACTATGGTTCATATCATGGACTTTGGAAGCCACCAGAAACAGGTTTGAATCCTGCTTTCATGTTACTTCTTTTCTTTTTTAATCTACCAGGTTTTATTTTGATAAGATGTGATTAAGGAATCTAATTTTAGTTTAAAAAAAAAGTATACTTTAAGTTCTGGGATACATATGCAGAACATGCAGGTTTGTTACATAGGTATACACGTGCCATGGTGGTTTGCTGCACCCATCAACCCATCATCTACCTTAGGTATTTCTCCTAATGCTATCTCTCCCCTAGCCCCTCACCCCCCGACAGGCCCCAGTGTGTGATGTTCCCCTCCCTGTGTCCATGTGTTTTCATTGTTCAACTCCCACTTATGAGTGAAAACATATAGTGTTTGGTTTTCTGTTCCTGTGTTAGTTTGCTGAGAATGATGGTTTCCAGCTTCATCCATGTCCCTGCAAAGGACATGAACTCAGTCTTTTTTATGGCTGTATAGTATTCCATGGTATATATGTGCCACATTTTCTTTATCCAGTCTATCACTGATGGGCATTTGGGTTGGTTCCAAGTCTATGCTATTGTGAATAGTGCTGCAATAAACATATGTGTATATGTGTTTTTATAGTAGAATGATTTATAATCCTCTGGGTATATACCCAGTAATGGGATTGCTGGCTCAAATGTTATTTCTGGCTCTAGATCCTTGAGGAATCCCCACACTGTCTCATGTTACTTCTTTAAGATTTGGTTTTTCTCAACTGTAAAGACAGGATAAAAGTACTTATCATAGGACCGTTATAGGGATTAAATGTAATAATATGCCTAGCACTGTGACTCATATAAAAAGCCCACCATACAGGAGCTCTCACTATTGGAGGAGGCACTCAGTAAATGGTCACTGAATGAAAGAGTTAATTCATGATCTCTTAGGGCCACCAGTTCTCTATAGCGTTAATCAATATTGTTCCACCTCTAAGTTATCTCATAAAATAAACCTTGTTAACACTAGTTGTAATGTTAAAAATAAATTAATCACCAAGCAAAGAATAACTTTTAGAATGTTCTCCATGTACAAGAAAAATCTATTTTATCTTAATGCTTTATTGAGCAGATTCCAGAACTCTCCTTAATAACATAGTCTAGGTTTTAAGTAACTACTTTGGCATGGTTTGGATATTTGTCCCCTTCCCATCTCATGTTGAAATGTGATCCCCAGTGTTGGAGGAAAGGCCTGGTGGGAGGTGTTTGGTTAATGGGGGTCTGCCCATCATGGCTTGGTGCTGTCTTCAAGAGAGTGGGGGAGTTCTCTCGAGATCTGGTTGTTTAAAAGTGTGTGTGGCACCTCCCCCAACTCTCTCTCTTGCTCCCAGCCTCGCCATGTGACATATGTGACATGCTTGCTCCCCTCGCCTTCCGCCATGACTGTGTTTCCTGAGGCCCTCACCAGAAGCAGATGCCAGCATTGCACTCCTGTACACCTCAGAACCATGCGCCAATTAAATCCCCTTTCTTGATAAATTACCCAGTTTCAGCTATTCCTTTATGGTAATACAAACAGACTAATACATCACTGTCAGGAAATTCTTCCTTTTTTTAAACGGATGTTCCCCATGCTGCAGTTAGATGAGTTGCCTCCCTCCTGCCACAGACAAACAAAAGGATGCAGTTTTCACTAAGAGATGAAGTCATTTGGTCAGAGAGGAACCTTGGAAAATCTGCGTCACATTGCAAAGAAGTAAATGTAGTCCAAGCCATTTGGCATTCAAGGAAGTACTAACTAAAAATAAATGAGAAAAGAATGGAGCAGAGAAAACATTCAAACCCACTGTTAACGATATGAACTCTTTTCTATGGTACATCTTTTCCAATTTATACACAGGTTTGTACAGAGTTTTGTACCTAGGGTTGACAGGCAATTTGCTTTGGAGGGCCAATTAATTTAAAAGTAGAAAATATCTCTATGTGATAACTGTTTTCCAGGAAAAGGCACATAATTCACCTTAAGCAAACTTGATACATGAAGATAAGGATTTATGAAGTATACAAATTAGAGAATAATTGTTCACTTTAGTAAATAATTTCATGGTAGGGTTAATTTATTTTGCCAGCTTCCCCAGCATATTTTATATATCCTTTGATTTCCCAAAATGCAATTTACCTATTTCAGCTGCACAAAGTAAAATACATCTGTAGTTGAGAATACAGATGATGATGTGTTTGTTCTCTGGCTTTCACAGGTTTGGGGTAAGAACTGACAATAATTTGACTTTGTGTAACTGTATGAAAAATGGCACCAGTAATCCTCTGTGGATATAATGTATCTTCTAAGCAATCCTTTTGCTAACTGTACTCTGTAAATTCTAGGAAACAAAGCAGTGGGGAAAATGCAAATATTTCATTTTAGAGCTCTGTTGGGTAGAAGTTATTCAGGGGAAATACACGGGCTCCTATTTAGGGAGGGTTCTATCTTTTACTTACAATCTCTCCTGGCAATAGTGTGACAAATATTATACTACAGTTATGCTCATTTACTCCTCAGAAGCACACATTATGCTCACCTTTTCTTTGTACGGACTCCATAAGTGCTTTGGTGCCATAGAGGATTCAGGTAAGACACCAGCAGAGCCCAAATCCTTTTACATCGTTATGTCTACATGCACATTTCTGCAGACATTTTGTCATGCACAACTCCACTTGCTAGAATGAAAAGAACCTCTCTCTGTTCCAACTCATAAAATATATGTAATATAAAAAGGGAACATTACAGATGAAGCTTTTTTTTTTAAAATTTCCCCATGATCCCTGGTTTTCT